CATCAGGTTGGCAAGAACTTGCTCTGCCAATGCAATTTAAATGAGATCATCAAACTGATTCGGCTGCGAAGATTTTCACATTAGAACACCAAATCTGGCATCAGGAAAGACTCCCTTCAAGCGCACAGAGACCAGGAAGACTGATAGTTCGGAGCAAAGTCTCGTCGAACCAAAGGCAAAGAACTTTAGGTTGGCTGTAGATGTCGGTAACGTCAGTCCCGATGACCTGAGTGTTAAAATTTCCGATGGCGTTCTCAAAGTAAATGGCAAATCAACGGAGGCCGACACGGACGGCAATGTGTACAGCGTGTATACCTTCACCCATGAGTTCATGCTTCCAAAAAACGTTAACGTCGACTCTCTGACTTCGAAACTGAAAGAAGATGGGGTGCTGATGTTCGAGGCTCCACTGCTGGCTACCAAAGAACCAACAGAAATATACTTGCCTATTACAGTTGACAAAACGAATGAACTGAATGAAGAACCCGAGTCTAAAACTGAGTTGCCGCAATCAGAAGAATCTCTGAAATGTGAAGCAGGGAACTGAAATGTCGCCGACGCCGAACATTAATCCAACATAACGTGTATCTTCACGATCTATTCGAACACTGAGTGGCGACGAATGTCCTTTCTCGAAATTTATAATTTAGTGACAGTTGTTATTAAGGATGGGTGCAGAATAGGATTGATTTAAATATGGACAAATTTTTATATCGTATCTCATTTCAAAATTGTTATGCATTTGGGCATCATTTGTATTTGTTTTATTTTTACCCATTGTTAAACGGAGCTGGGTGCATTTCATTTACCATTCCTGTTATAATATTATTTTATTAATACATGTTATTCATCAGAATATTAATTTTATACTAGTCTTGTACTGATATACATGGTATCAAATTTCCCGGTTCAATTGACACTTCTTTAGTTTACCAGCACGCAGACGACACCACTCTCACAATTAAAGATGACCGATCTGTTGACCACACACTTGACATAATGCAACGATACGAAAAAGCGTCGGGTGCTAAACTAAATAACGATAAGTCAGAATATCTCATGATCGGCAGTAATAAAAACCGTTCAGAGAGTCCCTATCCTTTCAAGCTTTGTACCGACGCCATAACTATCCTAGGTATTGTAATGGGAAATAATAAAAGCTCAGTGCAATGTCAAAACTGGGAAAACAGGGTAAACAAATGCCTTCACATTTTAAAAAGGTGGAGCCACCGGAAATTAACTTTCCGCGGCAAAACACTTGTTGCTAATGCCTTGGTTTCATCGACCCTGTGGTACACGTTATCTGTTTCGAGCATGCCCGAATATTACACAGCGAAAATTAAAAACAGTATTGTAGATTTCTTTTGGAGTAACAAGAGGCATCAAATAAAATACCAAGTGATCACGGGTCCTATCTCTGAAGGCGGGCACAATCTTGTAAATATAGAATTTAAACAAATGGCGTTTCGTTTAAAATGGCTTAAACAACTCATGAACGCCGATTCACAACATAAATTTAAACACTTAATGTTATTCTACTTGAATAAGTACAGAAACTTGCAACTTGGCAAAAGTATCCTGAAGATTAATTTCGATAATAATAAAATATTGGATATTCCGCCATTCTATGCTGAAATTCTCAAGGCATGGGGAATGGTCGCCAACGGCAAAACCGTAGTCAACCTGAACCTTCATACCAAATAATGTACGAGCCATTATTCTGTAACCCTTTTATTGTTCACAAGAACAAGTCATTATTTTTTCAAGACTTTATTAACGCCAGGATTGTTCAGGTTAAGGACCTGACATATGAAGTTATACCGGGTTTTCTACCATTTTCTACTATTTCAGAGCTTGTAACTGCAACATCAACTTCTGAAGCGAGTGGACAGGGACAGGTTTATGATAAAATACAGAGTTCTTCTAAAAATCATTAACCACCGGTGATTGGGTTACCAATATTGTTTTGAAATCCACTGCTCAAACGAGCGCGACACGCTTTCTGTCACATTGCAAAATAAAAACAAATATATCGATTATTA